CATCATTAAGAGTAATTTGTGTTGTGGTTTAGAATAATCTAAGATGATATGTTTTTTTCAAATTCTGGCTCTGAGTTATTGTGATTGCTTCTTATGTCTAGTCTATATTGCGACTGATTGCTTGCAATTAACTTGTCTCACGAGAAATAGATCGGCAAGGAAATGCTTTGTAACTAACTGATCTAGAATCGTAATTGATGATCAAGAACTAGTGAATGCAACAATCGACAGTATCAACTCACATCCATTTTCTTAGACTCATCACTCATTCCTTGATACGAAGTCTATAAAGTCTTACGATCTATTTGCATGTGTTGATATGGTTTGTGAGTGTTGTCTAAACTTCAATCACACGTACCCACACCTACATCCTCATCAACCAGCAAAAAGTATACATTTGATAACTTTGAAAGCATCTATATGTTGATGTGTTTCAAAGTATTCAAAACATGGCTGAAATCAGGTAAAAACTAGTTCTACACGTTGAAAATTTTTCAGTTTCAATGTTTTTTTTCTATAGAACTATCTACTGATAGGTTCTGAAAAAAAATATGCATTGCAGATCTTTCTTTTGTTAAACATCTTCAAAAGGCATTGTTTGTCAACAATCTAAACTTTTCTTCGTAGTTAATATTATTTTTCTCGATAAAGCAGAGTGTAGACTAAACGACTTGGTTTTTTTTTATAGAGATGCAAACGAGTGAATGGAAAAAAGCCTTTTTCGCTGTTTGTTATGTGAGGTAGAGGAAAAAGAGTACGCTGATTCACGTGGCTTTTTTTCTTTCCTCTCATGGCCTACATGTTGTATTTCTTCATTAAAAACAGCGCAATTTATTGCTGCGTAAAAAAGAGAAATAACCTACAATGCACAGAGAGCAATGCGTACAATTTTTTCTCATATATCTTTGCTCGTCATATCTTTAGCAAGCAGCAAAAATTATTTTGAATTTAATCGTCCAAACATTCGACATGTTACGTATATTGGGAAATTCTTCTAGTCGACAAACTACACGTATTCTTAGTTGTGTCCGATCTATATCAACTAACCCAACAGCTGGTTCAATCAATGAAGCTCATGATAAGTTCGCAGAACGTGAACAAGCTTTGGAAAACGTTTATTTTCGCAAATATAACGACGAACTTTTAACTAAATTACGTCAACACCATCAATTCTTAGAAAACCAATCTGATGAATTTGAGCGTGAACAAAAACGTATTGCAGAAGAAATCAAGCGATTGGAGAAGCGACGTGAAGAATTGATCAAAATATCTCTGAAAAAATGAAACTAATGAAAAGAAAAGAGCTTTCAAGTTGATAAGACAGTTGTACTTGTGTAGATATTCTTTCATAGACACCCTTATGATCTTTCTTTTTTGAAATTTGTGCACTTTCTTGTTGAGTTAGAATAAAACTTATAAATAATCAAAATATTTAGCACAATTGCTGCATTGAAAACACATTTCAATAAGATGTAATACTGGTCGATCGATTATTGGCAACATTAATTCAAATGAAAGAATAGTTAGATAAAGAATGACGAGTTTCTTCTCGATGTATTCGAATAATATCGTACAATACCATGCACGAATAGTTCATTTCCTATTGACAAAGATTGACAGATATCTCACACAATTAAGATGCTAACCGAGCACTTATACGGAGAAGTCATTTTTACTTATGTTGTTCACTGTTTAGGCTTATTAATCTGACAAACAGACGTTCTTAACTTTTTCAATCGATCGAAAAGCAATGAAACAGGATGTTATTCTAGATTGAGAGCACAGTATAAACAGAACGGCAGGAATCTCACCTTCCATGATGTTGAAAAAACAGCATTGCTTTGCTCATTGACAGTAATAGAACAGCTGCTTCTCCCTAATATTTTTTATTTTTCCTATTTTTTGCTGTAGGATACTAAGAAATCGTTACCTGCTCCAAACATTCATTTATACATGAACAAAGTGAGGTAAGTGTATAAGGATTTTCTCTTTACAGTTACACTCATTCTCAAATAATTGTTCACAACCATTTAGAGATGTTTATTGATTTTTGCTCACAACAAAATTATTTCGAGTCATCGTACAGTACTGGACAAAAGTAGGTAGCCCCCCTGAAGTCATACTATGCTTTATCAATTTGAGCTGATTTTTTGTGTGCATATAGTTTTCATTAAATCCTGATAGCAAGACACAACTCGCCCTCGCTCAGTTGGCATTCGATGAGATATTACGTGTACATTATCATCACCTTATCAAGGCTATATCTCGGTCATTTTTGACAGTTTCGTCATTCTACAATTTATTTTTGATTTTTTTTGTGCTATTTAT